GAAGAATCTTCTCTTACCCAAGTCTGTCCTCCCCTTTCTAATCTATATGCCTACTAAGACTCTTCCCATTACAGTTTCTATCAATTTGCTGACTTACTGCTTTGCAGTTTCAGTTCAGCGCACATTACTGTGAGGAGTCTGCCATTTCACGTGCAGGTTCCTGCAGAGCCCTTAAGTGAAGAGCCCTGGAAACCCCAGTGACTTCTGCCTCATTGGTACCTCTGTCTGAGACCATCTCTTGGATTTATCCTATGTTACAAGGATTTCTTCAGTTCTTCTCTGGAAAGCTGGTGAGAAGAATTCATTCCTCCCTCCCCTCCCGATACTGTGATCCTTCCTTTTTTGTTTTTCTACCTCCTCTTGAAATACTTTTCTATTTAATCATGTTGGACTTTCTGTGGACTTCGGCAGAGTCTCCCCCGCACTTTGTTTTCAACCTGTTCTCATCCATAGTATACCTTTAATACAAGCACCTACTGCGTTTTTAAGAAAATCCTCTGTGATCTGCACACATCACACCCTTTTGATTTCTCTAACAGTAGCTCACCCATTTTCATGTAGTTTTAACTTCAGAGTATTATAGTAACTACATCTCATACAATATTACATGCATCATCTAGGATTAAAAATTTTGGGGGATTTTGTAACAAGTTTCTTCATGGTGACACTTCAAGCCTCTTGAAGTTCAGTCACTGCATCCCCTGCTATCACGATGCTCTACTATTTGCAAGGTGGTAGCTAAAAAAGAGTCTCCTATTGCACTTTCTACACTGCAAGCTGTTGAATTTCCCCTTGCACATCACAGCTTCCATCCAGGTCTGGTAACTGGTAATACAGCCTTGAATGTTCTTAATTGTGTAATGTAAATCACTGCCAAGGATTGTACAGTGTTTTACTGGAGTCAAGCAGTTAATGCACACTCTCACCCCAGCTCCTCCATGTTCTGCAGTGTCGTTGGTGTTACCTTTGTTTCCACTGGCTTTCTCAATTGCCTATTTGATCAGTAGCTTCATTTAAGACCAACAGGCCCATCAGCTCTTCGATTAACACCGCACAGCACATACACTTTTGGTTTTGGTCTCTCTCATGTATTGTACTAACTGCAAAGCTTGGCTCCCAAACCCCAGAGCAGCGTCTTGCTGCAGTTCCTCCAGCTCAGCCCTGCTGCTCTCAGGAAACATGTGCTCCTGCTGTGCCTGTGGGAGAGGGAAGGTGAGACACACACCCCTCAGTGAGCTAGGAACTCCCACCACCTTCTGCTGGGTTTGCAGCTGCACCTCCTGTTCACCTTCTCACAGGTCATCTTTGCTTCTTTCCAAGTCAGCATAGATCCACACAGCTTCATTACCACCAGTATCCCGAATACTAGCATTAAGAAGTCGTTTTCCTGCACACTCTACATCTCCCAGTTAACAAAGAACCTCTATGCAGGGTAATCCAAATCACGTAACCCAAATCCTCTCCTTCAGACTGCCTATCCCCTAAAAAAGTTAACTCAGCACTTGGAAAGACTGAAAAGGAAGACACTGAATGAACTCATTGAACACACTCATTTGGCAGTCTGGCCAGCAGTGTGTTTCTTCAGCAGTTCTTTGTTTAAACTTCTTCTGAATTACAGGTTTTGAACTAAAGAGTTTCAGGAAGTTGTAGGAAATGTCCAAACTTGGCTCTTGCTCGAGCACGATTAATTCCTTCTGGAAATTCCACCTGTGCAATAGATGTCGGGAACTAGTGCCTGCCCTATTCCAGATGTATGGAACGCTGCTCTGCTGCAAGTCTGGTCTAGTCTTCTGCCATCATGAGGAGACAAGACTTAGCTTCTGTTACAGTAAGCTTCCACTTGTCAAGAGTTTGCACAGTCTCTGCCTCCCTGCTTACAGCCAGTGCAGCTGAGCCCCACGCTCACTGTGCTCACCAAGCTGTGCTAGATAAGAAACAAAGGCTCCTCAAACCTATCATCTACCTCAAGCCAGTACATTCACCTCAAAAACTTGAGCACTTATGTTTACAATGGTACTCTTGCTTTCCAGGTAGCTTCTCAGAATACAGAAGCCACCAGCCACAGGGAGCAGATAAGCACATGGTGAGAGGCACAAGTGCCACATTCCCCAGGTAAATGACAGGATTTTCAGTTTAGTTGCAGGATTTTAGGGAGACAGTAGGGATTTGGGAAAACATAAGAAGAAAGGAAGGATTACCAGACCCTACCAGCTTCTTGTCGTAAGCAAGGCCCCCACTGCAGCATCCATGCCCCCTCATCACGGACATGGAAGAGGTCTGATGAAAGCTATTGCCATGTGCAGGATGAAGATGGCAGCAGAAGACCAGACCTCCTCATCCGGCACTGAAGCATTGCAGGAGAGACTAAAAGGTTCACCAGACTACAGGCTAACAGTGTCTCCAGATCACATTTTTTGGCAGCAAGTAGCACTAAAGAAGTGGCTCTTCGGCAATGCAAGCAGCCAGTAACATGTGATTTACGAGTAAAATGGCAAAAAGGCAGAATAAGGAGGATTGTGTGTGATAAGCCCAGAATGCGCTCTCACCCAGCAGCATCTGGAGAGGATTTTCTCCAGCAGGCAGGGAAGAACTCGATTACATCCAGTTAACTGTGCTCTAAACTGATTATGCATGTGCCAGGCTAATGGATTACATTAGCAAGAGGAAAAATAACATCCAATCAATCTCAATTTACTGCAGACCACACCAAGGCCTGAGAGAAGAGAAACCGTTCTGTGAACTACCCCCACCGCCACTGCATCTTTTCAGCTATCAAGAGAGACATGGCATTACAACCCCTCTGAAGACTGCAAGAACTGCACTGATGCTTGCTTGATCCAGAGAAAGTTTTTTCCAGTATTTTCAAACACTGATTCTAGCTGTGCTGGAGTGAGACACCGTGAATCCAGCCGTCCACTATCCCCTGCTAAAGGTTTTCTATAGACATGTCAGAAAGCAAATACATGGACCACTCAGCAGACTTCATGACTCTGAAGTGTGTTATTCTCCATCTAGCGTTTCACAGCTTTTGTGTCAGAAGCAACACAAGGCTGTAGCAGCTGAGAACTGCCCAGGTCTCTTACAAACCTGAAATGTGACAACTCCTCTTGCCTGCATGAGGAAAGCATTTCAGGAATCTTCATTACAAGCATCTATAGCTGTCCCCAGGTCTCACTTTGTTCCCCACCCTTCCTCGGAGCCCCAGCTGCTTCTTTCCCAGCAGAAACCACTGTAGGTGAGGGGTCTATACAAACAATTTTTAAACGTCTGCAATGCGTATTTAAGAGAACAATAACGTATGTTAAAAACTCATAACAGAGCTTTTGAACAACTCATCTGCACCTCAGACTGAATTCCACAGACAGAAGAGATTCAGTTCCTCAGCTGGCTTTTTAAAGGCTCACTAGGACTATCCTGCCCATGTCCAAGCTGATTTACTCTCTCAGGTCTCCTGCACATCTGAGAGCAGAGGTTTATGTGTAAACCTGACCATTTTTAGAGCCAGTCTCTGCTGTTTTATGTCGGATCCCAGCTGAAGATGGTAACAGCAATCACACAACACTCTTGACCTCGACAGAGAGCTCGGCAAAAACTGAATCTGCCTCAGAGCACCTCCCCATCAACTCTAGGCAGGTCCAACTACCATAGTTCAAAGCAAACCCTCTACGATGCTCCTGGCTGTCTGCTTCCTCTCTGAATTTTGTGGAACTGCTCATTTCTAGGGAAAATCCAGGAGTTTTGACATCTGCGTGCACTGTGACATGGGTGGGCTACTGCACCAGCAGTTCAATGTCAAGTTTTAAATTCCCCTTACATGAAGAAAATATTCAAAGAAATAATTTAGAAGTACAAAATACAGTCTGTTTATGTATATATACTTCTATATGAAAAATGGCACCACATTTGGGGGAAATTAGGAAGAAAAGGATGAGGACAGAAACAAAAAATTAGGAAGAAAAGGATGAGGACAGAAACAATTAAAAACAACCCTGAGAGAAATGAGGAGACAATAAGCGGGATAGCATGTGTGAAGGGAAGGTATGTGGCTGCTTAGATTTATGGCAGTTCGTACCTGATTGTTCATAGTAAAGCCATTATGGGATGATTAGAGAAAAAGGTGAAGCTTTAAGTCCAGTGAAAATCAATAGGAACGTCTGCAGCAATTTTGCTGCACGAGTGAAAGGACTATTTACTGTATCCGGAGCTCCTCTTGGGTTACAGCCCACAGGGCTCAGGCCAGTGAGGGGAAGGGGTTATGAGTGAGAGAAACAAGTCAGGAAAGGGATGATGGTTATATAAAAATGAAAACGGGTGGAAGAGGAAAGAAAACAAGATGGTAGTCACAGGCCAAATCCTGCCACAGATGGAAACCTGCAGTGCCTCCAAATCTCTGTACACACACACAGTCAAGTACATGCACATTTATACAGGCTTTTCTTTGAGCCTTCTCCCTTTTCCAGCCTGCCAACCCTTTGCTGATCGCAACATTAATGTATACAGAACATAAAAGAACAGAGACAGTGGCCTTCTTCCTCCACCCCTCCCTTCTCCATCCACCCAGCCTTCTTCATGCCAGGATGAACACACTTCTCCGATGGCAGCAAAAGCATCCAACTGCTCGTGGAGAATCTTGGATGGGTTAACAGACTGCCTCACGGAAGAAAGCCAACAAAAGTGTGGCAAACACTGCCTCACGTAATGTTTTCAGCAGTAACTGTTGAATTTCTGTGCTGAAGTATCATTTATATGCAGTGCTAGAAGACATACAAACCTCCATTAAAGCACCTTGACATGAATACTCATTGGCCTAAGGCTTTAAGCACCACATCTGATACCAGAATGCAGGCTGAATTGTTGCACCATGCAAGTGAGACTGGGTTTTGCTTGAGAGATCTGAGCAACTCATCTCCAAAGGATTACAACCCACTGCTGTTCAAATAGATTTTCCTTTGTTCCAGCACTCGGGCAATGAAGGAAGATGAAGCAAAGCCAACCCTTACCTTATACAGCTTCAGGCTGGCCTCATGCCTCGAGTTCACTGTGTGAAGACGCAGCTTCTCTAGACTGTTGGTGTAGTAGTCGCACGCATTGCATTTCAGGTGTACCGGATTCCCAATGGCCACACACTTCAGCCTCCATTCATTGGCCTTTCCACCCTCCTTGATATGTGCTACCAGCTGGTATTTCTGCACATGCTTGTCTGTCTTACAGTGGAGTTGAAAGTTTGCCTTGAGCTGTGTGTTGTAGCGGCACAACTTGCACTGGTACGAGTCCCCCATCACTGCCTTCCACTCATCTTCAGGGAGGCTACGCTCCACATTCATGTGGAGGCCCAGCATGTCCAAATTATCTGTAGTGAACTTGTTGCACACAGCACACTGGAACAGCTTCAGCGATGGGTCATTTGTTTGTGTGAAACTCTCACCCAGGTTCATTAACTCCTCAGACACCAGCTGTCCACCACCTAACCGCATGTCCAGGGGGATCTCTCCACCCACTGCATGAAGGAAAAAGGAGAGAAAGAGGTCAGAAAAGCTGAATTCTTTACTTGCCTGAAGAGAAGCACGCAGTAGAACACACACTGCTCTCGGTGCAACTCTTGCACCCATCAAACACACAGCAAGAGCTAAGCACACCATTCCTTTTGTCTACTCCTCTGTGCTGCTGGTCAGTACTGTATGCAAATAAAAAAGCAAGCACAACCAGCATGTAAGGCTGGGAAGGGACCATGTTAGCTCTCGCTACCCACCCACTGAAGAAGTATCCAACCCTCTGCCCCTGAAAACAGCAAGAAAAACCCAACAGAGTTTTGGAGGCCACAGAATTTCTTAATAGCACGCTGAAGCCTCCATGGCCATTTCAAGCACAGCATAACACTTTGTTTTTTTCTTGCCTACCTAGAGAAGCAAGAACTGTTACCTCACACAGTGCCAGAGCATAGTACCTGCCAAATAAAAACAGTCAAGAGCCCCTGGTCCAAATGGTGGGAGTACTGCAGCTTGGTCAGCACACTGCCGTCACAAGTAGGTAACAGAATGTGGCAGTTAAAAAAACAACCAGGAAAGTGCCACTCCTGTTATTATTAGATCTCACCTCTTGCCCAACAGTTCAAAATGGTGCACAGCCTTCTAAAAATAGTGTTAACAGACACTCTGTATGCCCAAGGAGAAGACAACCACTATTAACGAGAGTGCAAGAGCATGTCAAGGAAAGCCAGCAGGATGCTTACTAAGTGTCAGACCTAACCTTCAAACCATGAACTGAAGTCTATTCACTTACAGTAAATGAATGCAGCAAGCTCTTATTTACATCAGCACTCTGAAGATGTGGACACAGAGACCTTTTTCTAACAACTTTTCATGCCAAAGCACAGAGACCAACCAACCACCAGCTTCCTCTTAGGACCTTTGCTTCACCTTGCTCTCCATTTCCGTTTTTAAGACATTTATGCTCTTCCTGAAGCTTCCTGGTATTTTACCTTGATCTTACGTCATAGCTCAGCCTAACAACCTTATTAAAGGAAACTTTAGGTCAACAGTTACTCAGTCAATCAAAATGAGGTATTTTAACTTCCTTTTAACTTATAGCTTTCTCTGTTTCATCTTGTTTGCTGAGAAGCCAACATGCAGAAGACTCAAAGTTCAAGCAGAACTGTATTAACCTTTCCGAAAGCAGAGAATCACAGCTGGTGCAGACCACAGCTTTGGGCAGTGTACGCTCAACTATCTTTCCTGCAGAAATGCAACACCACAATGCTCGTAACAGTCCTGATCAGGATGAACTACAGCTTACAAGGCAACCTCAATGCTGAGTTTATTACAGGAATAGCACCTCACTGTCATCAAGCAGATCCTGTGATCACACAGAGAAGCACTGGCTGCAGAAGGAAAATCCCATCTACACACACTGCCAGGAACCTGTCTTTCCATGAAAGCAGCCAATGATCTTTTTTCTTGATCTGCTCTATTCCTCCCTGCCACGGCAGAATTATACCTTCCGTTCCTGCTCACTAAATACCTGAAGAGCAGGGAACCCACCACTTGCCTGCTACGGTCCATGTCTCCTAATCATAGTGACTTTTCAAAGCATCCCTTTTGGCATCTATCCTGAAATTCTCTCTTTAAATCAGTCTCTCTTGAACACATCATGCAGTAAAAACTCAAAGGCAGACTCTTCTGAATTATTAATAGTCTACTTAAATCCGGTTTTGGACTGAAGTGTAAAAATGTGAAAAACTGCTTCACTTCTAGCAAAGTTCATGGTGTGTGTACAAGTCTAACGAGCTGAGCTTGTGTCAAGTGCTTATTGACATGGGAAGGGCCTCCCTCCATAATCCTCATCTTGAGATTTGCAACTGTCAAGTGTACCATTCATAAATCACTCCCCAGGCAAGCTCATGTACACTCAAGGCCTTGTCATGCACTTTAGGAGGCTTTTGTTCAAATCCTCCCAGTTTCTGTAATGCCAAGTGCCCTGTGCTTCAGTGAAGAGATGCCATTAGCTCCAGTAGGGAGCCTTCCAAGAAACCCACCGCCACCAACACTAACTTTATACAATGTAAGCCATATTACAGATGAGTGTCTACTACATCTGTTGGCAACTTGGAGCCATTGAAAATACACTAAACAGATTGTGTCCTTGACCTCCTAAAGATGCAAGCTGGGACACCATGGGGGTGGGGTGGGTGGGAAATTCTAATTAATTTATAGTCACTTGAGTTCCTCCGTTTTCTTTTTTATTTTTTTAGTATCTTGTGTTGTCGCGCTCTCATGGCTTTCATGTCCTTCTGGACTAATAATAAGCTGCACTATGAATAGGTGAAGGAGAGGAGAACATGCATAAGACCAATGAACCAGTAATGGAGCGCATCAGTAATAACCGCATCAATGGATGGACAAGGTTAGGGAGGGCAGAGTGCAGTGACGAGGAATTAGTTCAGAGGAAAGCAGATGAAGTGGCACATTTTTCTTCACGTACTTTCTCAAGGTACTGTGCAAAGATTCTCAGCATCAAAAAAAACAATGTAGAGTGACTACAGCCAGCATCTACCACACTTGAGGAGCAGAGGGTCTGTCCTGCACCAACTCCCACCCCAAAGTTCTGCGATGGTCAAACACTGGGCAGCACATGCATCTGACCAGCAGCTGCTGGGGAAGGAATCAAACAGGACATGACCCTCTATTGCCACTCTGAGTCTAATTCCTGGTCTACAGTGTGTGGGTGTGGATGTGGCGTGCCCCCCCCCCCCCCACTGCCAAGCGCAGAACACAGTGAATGCTTGTTATCAGGAAAAATGCATTGAGTGGCTCATTTTTAAGTGCTTTCATGATCTGATGAGAGAAATAATCTCTCTAGCAATTCCTCTCCAGTTTAGTAATACCCATCTGGCCAAGCCTCCTGTATCTCATGCTGGCATCAGAAGAACCATTTCAGCTCAGTTTCTTCAGCATGGGAACAACACCCCTTCCACCAAATTCATCACAACTCTCAAAACCTGCTTTCCTTTTCTTCTACAGGACACACAGCACATAAGAAAACAACTCAACATCTAGCTCTGAGAGCACCAGCCTCAGATCAGACTCTCTCACAAGGTCACCTGCCAAACTACTCACACCCCTTGCCAAACCAAGGAAAAATCATCAGGAAACACTGTAGTAAGGATGCTTTTCCACAATGAGAAGGAACATTTTATGCATGTCAGCAATAACCCATACCTACTGTTTAATTAGCTCCCTACTAAAACTCTTAGAAAACGTACCAGAAAGTAACTATTTTCACAGGATAAGTAAAACTGGTGTGTGGGGAATGGAGAGGTCTCCACTGTGCAGCCTCCATCCTCAGCCACCATGTAAAGGCAACTCACCACAATGGCAGCTGCATCGCACAGGGGGCCACAATGACAGGACGAAGGGATGCGGTACACAGTGCCCAGTCTCTGCATGAGGGCTTCCCTGGAATGCAAACACAATCTCCCCCACCCCCAACATGGACACGGTGGAAAACCTTTCAGCCTCACCTAGAGATGGAGCCATCGTTGCCATGGGATTGGTGGGATCGAGCTGGAATCCACCCATCATGAACTGTGCATCTGAGGAAGTGCTGTCCATCTTCAAGTTGGGAAGGTTCATGTTCTGTGCCAGGTAGTACTGGTAGAGCTCGGCCTCAGCAGGTGATGGCAGGCTGCCGAGGCCCAGGTGCCGGTTGTGTTGGATTTGGGACATGTTTTGCTGAAGCAGCATCATGTTGTGCATGTGCTTCTCACTGGTCATGTGAATACGGAGGTTTCTAGCTACGTTGGTCTCATAGTCGCACACCTCGCACCGCCATGTCGGTTTGGTTTTTGGTTTGGTGGGAGAGGGGGCCCCACATGTGCTACCAATGTTGGCTGCTGCAGCCGCTGCGGCTGCCGCTGCCGCTGCCGCTGCCCCGGCAGTGTGGCTGAAGACTTGCTCTCCCCCTCCGTTCTGCAGGTTCTGCATGTTGTTGAGATGCTTGTCGGACTGCATATGAATACTGAGGTTGCCTTTGGTAGTAGTGGAGTAGTTACAGACCTCGCAGCGGAAGGGCTTGTAACCACAGGTGTAGCTCTCACCCCGTGCCAGCCGTGGGTGTGGCTGCCCACTTTTGCAGTACACACAAGAGCCACCCGGCTCGGGATGTTTCTCCTTCATGTGCGCCTCAAGCGTCTGCTGGTACTTGTAGTGCCAATTGCACTTGGGACACTTGAGTGTCTTACATGAGTTGCGAGAATGCATCATAGTCATGTGGCCACCCAGTGACCGTGAGGAGCCCAGGACCGTGTCGCACTTTGGGCACTCCACGCCGCTCCCCGAAGGGCACTCCCCACTCCCAAGCTCACAGAGGGGGCCAGCATGCTGGTGATGGGAGATGTAGCTCCCGTCCTCGCCCTCCGCACTCTCATTTGGTTCTGGTGCTGTGGCATTGTCTTTATTGGCACTTTCATCGATAAAGTCCAGCCTCCTGCTGCCCTCTGCCACGCTGGCTCCACCACCCTCATTGTTAAAGCTTAAGTGATTCCTCCTGCTTGCACCATCAAAGACAAAGGAAGAAGCAGAATTAGAACTAGTAGAAGCTGTGCTCCGCGACAGGGTCTGAAGCACATTAGGCATTAAGGGAGAGTTAGAAATGCTTTGGTTTGAGAGAGCAAGGTCCTTTTTGCTGCTGCTACTGCCACCTGCCACAGCCCCAGCATCCTCCTGGGGCCGCTCCTCCAGCTCATCCTCCAACTCACTCGGAAACAGTCCTTTGCAACCCTCATCATCCTCGTCTTCTTCCTCTTCCTCCTCTTCCTCTTCCTCCTCCTCCTCTTCCACATCTTCCTCTTCTTCCTCCTCCACCTCCTCAACTGGCTCTGCCTTTTCCGAGAGGCTGTCCTGCTCGCCCCCCTCTTGCTTCTCCCCCTCTGCCACCCCAAGGTCCTTCCCCTCTGAGGGTTTGGTGGGACTGGAGGCCAGCGGTCCCAGGGGGACTGAGGTAATAGGAGTCTTCAGAGCCGAGCTGGTCAGCCCTCCCAGGTTGAGGAGTGCACCGGGGGCCAGGACGCCCGCTGGCGGTGGCTCTGCTCCACTGGCCGCCCCGGCCTGAAGGGCCTGCTCGCCCTCCATGCAAATGCCACTGAATTTACCATAAAAACTGTGTCCAGGGCCTATGAGGTTAGCTGCAGACACGAGAGGGTGCTGAAAGGTTTTGTTTTTTGGTTCCAGAAAGCTGACAAGGGGTTCCTTGTCTTTGCCTATCCCTTGGATGATAGCGGAGATGTTCTTATTGCTAAGAATTTTCCGCTCCTCCTCACTCAGAGTCATTCGGTGGTCGTGCACTGCGTGGGTCACGAACGAGCGGACATACCCAAAGGACAGCTTGCACAAGAAACACATCAGGATGGGCTTCCTCTTCCCGTAGAGCACAAAGCCATCGAATTTGGACAGGTCCACATTGTTGGGAACATCTTTGGATACGCAAGAGCTTTTGGCAGAACCGTCGCTGTTCAGGTAATCCTTGTTGCTTTTGTGTCGCACATCAAAGACGCGGAAGCTGTGCAGGACGGGGCTGATGCCCGCCAGGGCTGAGGTATTCGGGAAGGCCTGGTCTGAACCCTCAAACCACCTCCCGAAGGATGAGGCTATGTGGAAGGTGTTGATGATCTGTGGGTAGACGGGAGCGGTGGCGGAGGGCTCTCCCTGCTTGGGCAGAGAGTTTGGGAGCAGCGAGGAGAGAGCCCCGCTGCCACAGGCGCCCCCACTCTGCACCAGCTGGCTGAGGCTCTCCACGATGTAGGCTGAGCCGTCAGGCTGGTACACGATCTCGCCGGCCAGGTTCTCCACATCACTCTCCTCCTCCCCGTCTTCACTACTCTCGCTCCCGCTCTCCCCGCGCAGCGGCGGGGCCGGGCGGGCGCCGGCGCAACGGTGCTCCATGTAGCTCTGCAGGCCAGCGAAGGAGGCGCCGCACTGCCCGCAGCTCACCTCCTTGCCGGTGGGCTCGGCGCCAGGGCCAGCCGCGGCGCTGCTCTCGGGGACGTGCTCTGGGAAAGGGACCCTCAGGCTGTCCAGGGGGCCGCGGGTCTCTGCTGCAGGCTGCTCCATGCTGCTGGCTGCATCAGGGAGGTGGGCACTGTTGAGATCAGTCCATTGCTGGTGCTGAGGGATGCCGCACCCATTGTCCTTCCCAGGGATGACAGGTGAGTCACAGCCTTCCATGGCAGGGCCGGCTCGGAGCGCTCATTGCACCCGGTACAGCTCGGACCTGTAGGTGGGGAGAGAAGGGGAAAGGCAGGTGAGTCAGGGAGGACAGACAGTTCCCATGAAGACTTCCCCACCACAAGGACCACCGACCCTGCTCTTCAGGACCAAACGGGAGACTGAGAGAGCTGGTGCCCTACGATGGTCTCCAGGAATGGGCGATAATGCACTGCTGGAAATGAGCAGTGGAAACACAATGGAAGGAGGAACACAAAAGGCAAGACAAAGGGACCTGGGAGGTGGTGAAAACCTCCCAAAACCTTTCCTGAACCAGGGAAGTGTAGGACCTGCACTGCCGCACCCAAAGTCTTAGATCTTCAGAAAACAAAAATGCAGCAGAAAAGCTTTTGACAAGAATAAAGTTAAGACACTACAACAGAATGGTGCGGGAGCTTAAAAACGTTGTGAGAATGGTACTCTGTGACTCACTAAGCCAGCTGCTGTTACTTTATTTTTGGGTGATTTCTTCTCTGACCAGTTCGCAGAAGACAAAAACAGAGCTACCACACGTGCACCTCCATGGCAGACCACAGGACCCAGAGCAACTCACAGAGATTTCATAGCAGCAGCATTTGGCATGCACAGGAGATTTAATTGCTGTGTTCTGGACAGAGTTTAAACAGAGACACATCAGGAGAGAAACCAAACAGGAAATTCCAGATCTGACAAGGGTCCATCCCGGGGATAGGAAAGCAGGCAGCCCACCGTGCTCCAGGAAGCTCCTGAAGATGCTACAGGGCACAGCCTCCGTACACAGACAGAGGCTTCCTCTCACTCCCAGATGAGACACACGGCTGATTCACGTCCTAGAGGAGAAGTGAGGACACCCTTCCTACTACTTCTGTTCCACCAAATACAATGAGAACTGGGGAACTCAGCCAGAGTACGAGCAGCCAGCAAGCACGGGCTGCTGAACATGGCCAACATAGGTGTTTCTCAACCATTTCTACCCCTTTTGCTGCACCCTGTCAGCGTCTCTGGCACTGCAATCCTGACTGAGCCAGGCAGGATGTGCCTTTCTAGAGGTTACAGACCTAAGAGATTAGGGACTGCTACTGTTAAGAGCTGGACCGTTGTAAAGTAGACCACAAATAAGCAGGGGATTGCCAGTTCAGTTGCAACCCTACCACAACCCTGTCTGCAAAGAAGCATTTCTATAGCTGGCTTTCTATAGAGACCTCCTGCACAAGCCACACAGGAGGGAACACCAGCAAAAGTTAAAGCACTATTACCTCACCTGTAAAAGTGATTTTTAACCTATGGTCCACAGATTTCCTCACGTATACAGATGCAAAGGATCCATAGAAAACAACCAAGGAACAACTGTGCAAGCACAGGCCAACTTCATCACACAGAAGAGTCACGCTCCAGACCTGTGGTCATCAATGCCACACAGGAAATCTTCCACAATACTTATCTTTACAACTGAGCACAAGTACTACTTCGCTCATCAGACTATTCCCAAACTGAATATGTATGGGGAAGGTTTTTGCTGATACTCAGTGTAAGGGTTTGCGGGGCAGGGAGGGTTTTAATTTAACAATATGCCATTGCTCTTGAACTGACTGACTGGATTTTAAGTAATACATTTAAAGTTTATAAATTCTTTCTAAGTCTTTCTTGAAATCTCTCTCATTGACTACCTCTTCTTCAAAGTCGCTCTTACCTGAGCATTCTCCAAGTAGCTGCTGCTTCAGCTCATGAGATACACCAAGCGGGGCGCAGTGCTGGAGCTCTGACTAGACTGGACTATTAGTGGGGACCCTCTCACTCCCTTCTGAGACTTGTGTAGGGACCAGCTGGCACCTCGGGGCTTCAGGGATCTGCCTTCGATGCCTCCAGCCACATTAGCTGCCTGCTGCCACCCCTGGTCTCTCGCACCACAGACTATGAGCGTCTTGGCAATCTACGCTACTACCTAAAAGTCAAATATTATAATTGTAGTTTGAAAGTGCTTCCACTGCTCTCCAGCTTGATTTCAGCCCATGTGGCATGGAAGACCCCCACAATTTCCAGCAGAGCAGTGTGCTGTAAGACAAGCGACCTTTCCCTGTGTGTCTGCCTGCCCAGTGCATGCTGCACACAGTTACTGCTGTACAAACACACAACTGGTACATAAATATCTGGGAAACACAAGAAAAAATACAAAGAGAACTGAAGATTTGCCAGAGAAGGTGCAAAGTAGGTAACATGCCACAGCAGCACTGAATGAATTGCCCAAGTTAATTCAAGCAAAAGAAAATGGAACAACATTTAATGTTCTTTTTTTCCTGTTTTCGTATCACATGAAGGCATCTATATTTTTTCTGATTTGCCTTCATGTGTCCATATTTTTTTCCTGTTTTACTGCTGGTGAAGCTTGAGAAAAAGTATTTACAACTGCTCGTGAAGGTGGAAGTTAACATTTCCCGAAGTGAGCGCAGTGAGGATTCTGATAGAAGGACATGGAGATGCAATGATGTAATAATCCAAAGCATTCACACACGCTATTACCTTACTGCATTTCCAGCCCCCACTTTCCTTGAATTCTATGCCATACACAGCTGTCTTTGTGGTTGCACTGGGAATAAACAGTGATTTTGAGTTGCAATAAAAATAACCTGGTGCACTGAGTGGAATAAGAACGAAGAGTACCATAACCCTGTTGCCAAAGGGCTTAGCCTTCTTCATCAGCCTGTTTTGCTTACCTTAGCTAAAACACTTCAGCACAGCACTGTGGCAGCTCTTACTTCACCAGCTCTCTCCCACTGAACATTCGTCCTTAGCTGTGTGTTTTCTTTAGACTGATCCCAGATCCTTCTGTGTTAATGCTGCATATTCAGCCTCCCACAACATGACGTACTCTATCCCGCTCACTGTTACTTTTTGCAGTGACAACTGCAATCCAAATTAAACTAAAGCAAGTTCATATTGGGTGGGAAAAAAAAAAAAAAAAAAAGAGTAAAATAAGAAACTCTCTAAACCCCATACTTCTGCCAAGTAAAGTTTTGGAAATACCTCTGCAGACCTCAAAATGCAATGCGGAACAAGAGCACCCCACAGATGCTTTTAGGCAGAAAGTGCTCAGGCAGCACCCCAGAAAATACAGCTAGGTGAGATATGACATGAACCTGAGTGTCTCCATCATCAAGAACTCTTGAATGGCAGGAAGATGCTCGACTCACAGTTGGGCCAAAAGGGTGACTGGGGCTGATGGGGTGGGAGGGTTAACAGACTGATTGTAAAATCAATGTAATAAATGCTTGGTAAGTTACAGGAACATGCGGGAAGAGGAGGCCGCGATTGATAAAGGACTGCAGCTTTGATGCTGCACTGGGGACTTGTTTATTGACAAGAAAGCCAATCCCTTCTCCCAGCCAGGCCAGACTAGGCAGATCTGTGAGCACTGACGAATTAATTGGTGGGCTTTTCTACCTTGGGTTGCTTTATCCTCTCTCCCCTCAACTCACTCCATGTTAACCAGTTCAGGAGGTGCTACTCCAAAGGAATCTTTCTCTCCTCCCCCTTTCCTTGTCACAGAGGAGCCCTTACAGAACAGGGGAAAAAAACCACAGCCAAAACATGGCCAGCCAGAGCCCCTGGACACAGGCTAAGCCCCTAGACAAATTCAAGCTTTTCCTGCCTTCTCAGTCTATTAACAAGAGCTACTCCTGCAAAACTATGCTCATGAGGAAGAGGAACAGGAATACTTGCTCCTATTTGCACCGGAACTGCACATATTGTCCCTTTAAACTGAAAAGAGCAATTCCCGTGCTAAAGCAAACCAGACTGCAAGCAGGAGTACAATGTACTTATTAGTCCACTATTATGGGCCCTGTATCTTCCTCTATCCAAGACCACGCCGCATCGACCCTCATGGGACAGGGGGTTCTTGCGAGGACAGACCGATGATCCACACCTCCCACCCACTCCCCACCCCCAGCCCTCTCTGCTCTGTTTATCAGACAGTCAATAAGAAAAGGTAGTTCTTACTTAAGGAGGCAGAAGTCAACTTGTCAGGTCGATCAGCACTCTGTCTGTAAACATGGTTTCCCGTAAAATCAATGAACTCCAGTTACAGAGAGAACAGCCTGAGTGCTGGAGACTCCCTGTGTTCCCACCAGTGGGAAAAGGCTCTCCTCAATCCCTTCTCTGGCCTCACATCCCAGGGCTGCTCCCAGCACTGTGCTCACCATACCACTGGCACACAGCCCACCCAAGCCCCTACTCCTCTACAGCATCACTGCATCTTGCAGTCCCTCCAAGCAGATTTGGGTCCTGGCTGGAGGACTTTCAACACCGCAGGGGAGAGAGCAACAGCCACAGTGGTCCAGAGCCGAGCTACCTCTGGATGGGCCAGCGCAAATGAAAGCACTGTATGCCCCCACGCTTTCATCAAAGTTTCCACTTACCACAGCTAGTGGTGTGCAGCCACGCTCTGTCCAGAACACAAGTGGAGTCGACTCCCCCATCTCCCCCCTCCCTGCCCCATCTTCGCAGAGACAGACATGTCATCTTACAGCAGCGCTTCCACCACCAAGCAGCAGCTGGTGCTGAAGCAACACCCTCAGTCCCAGCAGGCTGGGGGCTCCTGGGGACCCCGGGCCCACCGCACCAGGCTGCTCCCCCCAGTGATGTGGTGTGGGCGGTGGAGGGAGGGCTCCTGCTGCTGCCCAGGCTTCCCGAGAATTAAATATGAACAGCCGTGCTGTGTTATTTTAAATTGTTAATTAGCACAGGGTTAATTACGCGGCCCTTTCACAAGAGGCTGTTTGGCAGTAAACCAAGACTGGAAGCAATGAGGAAGGAGAAAAACAAAAGGAGAAAGAGACAGTGAGAAACTGTTCCCTCAGCTAATGACCCACATGGCACCATGAAAAAAGAAAGGGTGCTGAGGACAGGGAAAGGATACAAGCAGATGCATTACATCTATGGCCATTACCCTGGAAGATACCCAGAGAGGCAGCCCTCCCTCTGCCTATTCCCACAGCTGCACAGTGGAGAGAAGTGCTCAACCCTGTAATG